TCTCTCCGCCGATGTTTCCCTCAAATTGTTTCTCCCTCCAAGAGTTTTTCTAGCGCGTCCTCTTTGTCGAGACCATCCGTTTGGCATCGTGTTTGATGAATTGAATTCATCCGAAGGGAGCATCCGCGATCCCCGCAAGGCGTTACCACGAATAATGGTTACACTTTGGCTGCCAAGCTTCTCCCTGTGGCGGTCGTTTGCAACAAAGCATCGTCTTTGCTCTCTGTCGCCGATCCCCCACGTTTGGATAAAATTCAACAACATTGAAATACTACTGTTTATTCATTTCACTATACAAACTCTGTGATAAATGTAAACAAGAATGAAAGAATCGACACCGAGGATGGATTTTCGAAATTGCGCCGTAAGAACGATACTCTTATCGCGGAGAAGCAACGTTATTAACCATTCGTGAAACAAAGGATCGTAAAGACCGATCCTTCAGCTTTATTTTATCTGCCTTCTTGAACCACAGCCTCTCGAGCGAACGCTCGATTCTAACCGGCACTTCCGGTATCTGGTTTCGTCATCGACCATCCATGCTGACGCCACCGCGCCGACACATAATGGCCGGGAACGAGAAGAAACCGTCACGAAAAATAGGTTACAGTCTTTCACGCTGTATCTCGCGGTATAACCCGGGCTTCTTATTCAGAAAATTTCCAGTATACGAAAACCATTCATTTTTACACAAAGCATTTGTTCGCGATCGAATATCGATATCTGCGCGAACGATCCTTCGTCAACTTTCGCGAATCTTTGTGCACCTGGACTTTTATAATTTAATAAAAAGTAAGGGTAACTTTTACGCGTGCCTGGGAAAGTGTTTGACAAAAAAAAAGTAAGTTCCTCGACGTTTTCCTACCACGGTGTACGTAAAAAGGCAGCGATATAAGCATCGTAGCGAATATGTTAAAATCCGGCGTCAATATTGACGAACGACCGGTACCAATCTTCTCGTTCAATATTTATCCACTTCCCTCGAGTTGCAAATTAGTATATTACGACACCACGAGCTTTTAAATTGCGCCGTTATCGAGTAATAGCACTTGGTGGAAAAATCATTTCTAGAATATGTCTTCGATACAGAGGGGCGACCCGATAACTTTATTCGGTCAAAGTTATTCGACCAACCTGTACTCCGAGACAAGGGTACCAAAAATTATGCTGTTTCACGCTAAATTACGCCGGGCCAAAGTATTACCGAATACGACGTTGAAATGGCTTACAGGTCACGCTAGCGAATACCAAGTTCCTCGCATTTAACCGGACAATCCACGCGGGATGGAGAGTTCTGGCTGCGGTTCCCTGTAATCCAAAGTTGTTCAAATTATTAACATACGAGGCACCGTTGATTCGATAACTTTCCTTCAATTTTACATCGTGCGAGTTACACGCTAAATTCCCTGTTCGTTAAAAGCGACGCGAAACGACGACGATCCGGACAATGAAAATCGTATTACGGGCAACGCGAAACGTTCCATCGATGATAAATTCGAATTTCGAAAATAAAACACGTTTCCACGTTATCAACGAGAAATTCTCGAAGCTGAACGTTACTATTTTCGTTACCATTCTGGTTTACAGCAACCAAAAAGTGGTTTCAACACGATCGTTTTCGCGCAAGGAAGTTTTCAAATGAGGATGTAAATGCAGGTAGTCCCGCGACTTAGAAACAGCCCAGACACGAATCCCACTGAATTTGTGGACGATTAAATTACCATGAGAGTAAAACCGGAACTTACCGCGAGGTTAATTAAAATATGGCGCGAATACGAAAATTTTGAAAAGGCACGCCCCGAGTCTAACGAGCGCGTTGAATTAATTACTTCTTCGCGATTATTCATCGAAAACAACGAATCTAATTAATTCAGCATAAAGACCCAAGTATTGTAGAATCCAGCCACGAATTCGAAAACGGAATTGCGCGATCCCTTCGTTCCCGATACTCGATCTCGATGCGGTGTGTCCGGCGCGGCACGAACGTTCGTTATCATCTCGTTAGAACAGTAAAATTCCACTCGTATTCGAGATACGCGACGCAAATGCAGAGGATACAACACCGTGTGACTCTCTAGATAGCCACGGAACCGGAAATCTCCGGATTCGCCTCGTTTGTCCCTTAATTGGCCGTGTTATTAAACGTCGGCCCCGAAATCGTGGAATACATTTTTTCCCCGCTCGCCTAAATTGCCAAGTCCGGTAAACGAGGGCGTTCGTCTGTTCGCGCAGAATACAGGGTGAAATTTTCGTAAAAGTAGCGCGGCGCGTAATGAAAATTAACTCGACGCTGGCCCCGTCGGTGTATAATTGAACGTGCCACGTGCACTCTAGGACGTCGGTAGCGTGTAACGTAAGTGCTGGACGCCCACTGGATACGTAGATTCGACGTACTCCATTTATTACGTTGCACGTACACGCGTTCGCTACAGCGTATACCCTGGCCGACACCTGGGGCTGCCTACCAGAGCGAATATCATTTTGCGCTTTCGTTCCGAACCGGAAAGACGCGCTACGGTGTGCAGCGTACAACGCGGCCATTTCGTCGATACGCGACCACGGAATGCGCGATGCAAACAAAATTAATGGAAAACTTTAATCCGATTATAAACGCGCGTGTTGCTCGCTCGATAAATACAATAACGACGCGCGGTGCGCGGACCCGGTACTTTCTGCGAATTATACGCTCGTCCTGCGCGGATCATCGAAGCGTAGAGATTGGCCGAACGTCATAAAGCAATGATTTTGTTCGCGCGAATATGCCCGAACCCAAAACACGTTCCTATAAAATTCACCTGCCTGGTCCAACGACTCTTTAAACGAGTGAACGAGGAGCACGATATTAATGTGCAAATTGGATAGAAATAAGAGGATCTTTAATTTTCGAAATGTAATATTTTTAGCCGTCGAAACACCACCGTGAAAGTAATTACGTTTCGCGTAGATGTATTGAGTTTAGGAGCAGCGAATCGTACGACAGTCGTGCGTTAACTCTGATAGCATTATATCGGCTGGCGGGAAAGTAACGACCCGTCGAAAACGAGGGTGGTACGTGCGCGAACGATTTTCCGAGGAATGTACCGGGGCACGGAGCCACGACGAACGCGCTCAAGATTAGCTCTAAGTTTAAACGCGTGGTTGTACACACGCTAAAGAAGTGGTCTATAGAGGGTGGCACAGTTATATGCAGCTGCACGTATTCCGTGAATCTGAACGTGCCACTAGAGCCGCGGCACTCGAGTACATATTGTGCCATGCCGCATGCATGCGTTTATACCGCACGATGAATGCATGCAGCGCGGCTTTCTGCTGCCGTGTCGCGATCTACGATTTATTTCGCGATCAAATCGCCATGGAAAATATAAGAAGCATCGACGACTCGTTATTTATGAGCCCGGTGCACCTTCGAATCGATACCGGCCTCCGTCCCTTAAACGCTCCCTGTTGGTAAACTACCCCACAAAAGAAAAGACAGAGAAAATCAAACTATGGACAAAATTTCTTTGGATACTTTGTGGTACGAAAACTAGAGACAGTGAAATTAAAATAAAAATAAACCGAAGCCTAGCACCATCGTACTGAAATTTATAATAAAAGTAGCTGTCCGCTGCAGGTGTAGTCGAACGTTCGATGGGATCTCGATTGTCGCGTGTACACGCGTGTTCCGTGAAACATCGTTTCCCTAAAATTCCTATTGGTGGGGTTGTAATAGTGGAAGTGGCAATGTTGCAAAATGATTGGGGGTTTAAAGCGTGCGGGTATTGATCGGTTGAACGAAGTCCAGCGGGAAAGGGAAGTTTTCTAAATTTTTTTCAAACATATCGTTTCGCGTTCCCGAATGTCGAGTAATCGTTTCCAAACGATTCCTTGGGAAAATGACTATTGCTAAATCCGGGGAAAGCCAAACGTTCTCGAACAGATTTACGGAGCCCAACCGGTAATAATTTCCGTAATCGGTAGCTCCCTTGCGATAATTTGCATCGCGACGTTCCCTTGCTCGACCTTGCTCCCGGCCCTTTCCGGTTCTCCGGGATTGCTTCGGTCTGTTTCGTCGAACAACACGCCGGTCGTCGAAGAAATATTTGCCCACCGGAGCATCACCGCGGTAATTAAAAGTTACCCTTTCGATTCTAATGTTTGTCCCGGAAGAAAAATAATTTTCCGTGCTACGAGACGAAGGATGTAGGAAACGACCGCAAATAAAAGGAAAATATTTGAAGAGCGAACCGATGAGTTCGCGCATCGACGATCACCGACGAATTTAAACTATTTCGCCCCGTTGACAAAAATAAAATTTCTATCTCGTGCTTTCGGAAGACAGCTCAAACTCTGTGGCTATAATTACTATTTCGTAAAAAGCTAATTGGTTCGACAATTTGGATGGCGCAATGTATTCGTCGTTACGCGAATAGAACAACAAACGAGTAATTATTAATGATCGACAATATCGAAATAGAGGAGCGCGTGGATCGACCCAACGAATACGAATAAAGCGTCAAGGGTTGGACGTTGTCTTATCGCGAACCAGTCTATTGAAACGCGATTGTACCTATGGGCAGAGAGTGTATCGATACACGCACGCGGAATCGTGTGTCACGCGAAATTCAATAGCGATTCTCGCGACGCGAGGAACTACGCGCGATAAAACATTTCCCGTTAATTCGACCGTGACATTATTAACTACGATAGTTTCGCGTTTCGATCCCCCCCCCCTTTCCCCCCCCCCTCCGGCGAGACTAGCCGGTCGTTCGGTCGCGTTTCGCGCGAGCGAAAATGCAAATTTCATTAACGCGTTCCGCTAATGTTCGAATATTATTGCGAGCTTTCGGATCATAAACAACGCACCGACGGATAGCGACGAGGCGGAATTTCCGGACCGCCATGATGGTCGCGATTCCGATCTGTCGTTTAACCGTTTCGATCTAGATCCTTCGTCGAACGATGCGTGCACTCCGTCCACTTCTAACGTTTGCGTTCTGATGTTTTATGTTTTTTTTTAGTTTCCCCTATCGTCACTCTGAAGATGGGCTCGTCGTTGAATCCGAAGAACATCAAGGAAGGCGAAGACGTTTACTTCGAATGCAACGTTAGGGCGAATCCTAGGGCTTACAAATTGGCGTGGTTTCACGAGGTACGTCAATCCGACTGCTGCATCCGGTTCTCTCGTTTCCGCCCGCTTCCCGTGACGAACGAAGCCCGAAAACTGCGCTGAGCTCGTGGAAGCTCGTCGCGACGAATCCGGTTTCCGTCTCCCCCGTGTGTGTCCCGCGCGCATACGGAATGGCAAGGAAATGTGGTAAAAAAGCTTCGCCGATGAATCGACACGGGCGCAAAATTAAACGACATACCGGGACGAATTCCTCCCTCGGGCTTGCTTTATTGCCTGCCCGTAAAAAGAAGGTACAAGAGCGTAAAAGTCGACGCGATATAACCTTGTCGCGCAATAAACTCGAGAATCTAGAAAATTACGCGGTAATGAAGAGCGAAAGAACGGAGCTCGCGATCCAAGACGTTTCGAGTAGACGCGTCGAGTGTCGTTTTGCCTCTTGAATGGAAATTCAGGACATACGCGATCCGTAGGCTAAAGCGTGAGCGATACGACGCGAGAGAAACGATGGCGAACACGGAAACGTCGTCGTGTCGCTGGAACGATCTTCCTTTTTTTTTCGTCTTGACTCGCGAAAAACTCATGGCTCGCACCTGAAAAGCTCGAGCGTTATCTTCGGTCACTCGAGGATCGTCGAGTTAAGCCTCTTAAGGGGGATTATGCTTTCCATCATTTTCTCCGTCGGGACGAAACTCTCCCAAGGGATCGACGAAATCCTACGAGCGTCCTGAAAACCCCTTCTTCTGCCCCGCAGTTTCCCTCAGCGACGACCTTTGAGCAAACGCGACGCCAATTCTGATCGTACCTCGGCCGGCGTGCAACATCGACACTGACCCGAAGAAACAAAGTTAAATAGAAAAATTCAATCGGATCAACTAGTCGCGCGAATCCCTGTCAAAGCAAAGTTCACGATATTTTCAAACTTTTCTGACCCTCCTCTTCCGTCCCCTTTTCTCGCCGCAAGAAAGCACGTTTGGATTTAACGGGGACAATGCCCGATGTCAAGATAGAACGCATCCCCGTCGGATAACTTTGAAACTTCGGATCGCATCAAAAGGTGTTTCGAATAAAACTTGAATGATTTCGACTGGTGGGAAATTTGGTTTTGACGTATATCGTAGAGAAACGCATAGGTTCGGTATAATTTCAATTCAGCAATAACTTTGGAAACATAAACAATATCGCTAATTGTAAAGCAACACAAATATATTGGAATATTAGTTGCGATCATTGTCAGAGAGCTAGTCGTAAAATGTATTGTTAATTGCCCATACGATGCCTGAAGCAAAATGTTCTGTAAGTGTCATAATTAATAGACAAAATAACTAAACTGGCAGACATTTCATTGTTACACGAGGACTTGCTGTGTATAAAACTGACATTTGCAGGAGAAATAATTCTTATATCCGTTTGTGTCGAGCGATGGGAGCTCTAAAAATTGACGATGTCTGGATAACACAACGCGGACAAATCATCTCGCGCGATTTCGAATAATTCAAGCATTTACCGCGAGCAAAACATCGAAATTAATGATGCAATACATTCGCTCGGGTATACTCGTTCTATTCCTCTCCTCATTCGGATTCGTAGTCGACAAATTCTTAATTGAACGTTGCGCGCGATTCTTAATTAACGCGCGCGAACCGACGGCAAGAATTACGATCGAATGAACTCGAATAATCGAAAGTTCGTAAAATCGAATAAGAGAGAGAAAAAGTTTTAATAATAGGACGCCTTCTATCCGGAGGAATATGATCCAGTGCCGGGTCGTCGAAGAAAAAAGGTAAGAGAGAGATTCAGTGAATAAGTAACAGAGTTTAAAAGTCTTGGAAAAGAGTTTTCGTCGGGAAGGGAACTAACTCCCAGACAGAGCGAGGGATAATTTCAAATGTCTCGGAGCGTTCGTTCTCGGTGGAGCTCGAACCCGCTGGAGAGAGCGCGCTCGTGTGCACTCTGTCGAAATTATTGTAAATTTACGGCCTCCCCGTTGTCACTTCCCGTCCATTCGGTGTCCCCCCCCCCCTTCCCCCGCCGCCGCGCGTTCCGAAAACCAAACCAATAAATTGCCCGCGAATCGTCGGGCAAAGCCGGTGTACCAATCCGTAAAAATGCTCGCGTAAAAACGTCCGCGCGATGAAAATTTCTCGACGAACGAATGACACGTATCCGCCATTTCCGCCATTATCGCGGAAAATCCACTACGTACGCCGAAACGTTCGTAAAACTCGCCCACCGTCTGCGAACGAGCGATCCAAGATTCGATCGAGAACAACGGTAGCACAGGCGAACGTGTTTAAATAATAGCGTTAATTACTTTACATCGTACCAGGTTTCGATCGTTCGGGCAGATCTGGACCAAGATTATCCAGAGAGCTTCTGGGAGATAATATACTAACGGGATTTAATTAGATGGGGGCGAATACCATCCATTCCTGGATCCTCGTTAGCATTCAGCGCGCGGATTTTATCGAAGATTTCTTTGGCGCCAATATCGAACCTACACCGAGGAGATGGCTGATTGAAAATTCGGAGGAAATCGAATCGTCGTCCGGAATAATTGTGCAATCTGTTCGCGAAACTTGAGAATGCGTTAATATCGAATGGCTTTGTTAGCGTCCGCCATCTCGCAACTTTTCAAGTACGATCTATGAAAAGTCGACTCTATTACAGCTCCGTTTTCTTTTAATAATCTCGAGGGTCATTGTTCGATCATATCGAGTGACACTCCACGCAATTAAATTACGCTCCATCCGGCTCGGATACACCGTGGAAAGATTGTTGTTCGACGAATGGAGGATGTTGCAACCGGATAACGAATGGATTAATCGCGTCGGCGGTCGAGACGAGTTTAAAGGACTATCCCGGAGGGTGTAAAGCGACGTCCGTTACCATCGACACGACCGATTAATCGAAACCGATGGCAGAAATTCTGTACACGGAGACGAGAGTCACGCGCGAACGGCGAACGTTCGATCGTGGATTCGTGTTACAGCTATCGTTTCCCGGGGTACGTTAAAAAGGGAGAAAGATGATCACGGTCGGCCATCATTACGCTCGGTACGCGTGCTTCCCAGTGACATATTCAACAGCAGATAACACCGCGCTGTGACATGCGGTTGAAACTAAATCCGTTAGACGCGTTACATCAAGTCATACCCTTCCGCCGATTCGCCTACGCGTCCCGGAATATGACGCTTCCGTTATCGCGATGCTACGTACGCGTCGAATGTCATTATGCGGGCTGTATTGCCCGCGCGTTATGGTCCCCGTTCCGTTGGCTTTTCGCGCACACGAATCACGTAAACCGCGAACAAAAAAAAATTCTGTAAACACAATTACGCCCGAGCTTTTTACGTATTCGCGTTTCCACGGTCGCTGAAAGAGACTGATTCACAAACGCGCGCGATTCAAATTGCAAACGAGCCACCGAAAAATATCAACGTACGAAACGTGTTCATTTGTTACAAGTTTAAAGCACACGAAACACGGAGTTTACGGACAAAACGTTAATCAAAATCCTTTAATTTGTTTCGATGAATGCTCGAACCGTACACGCGCGTTCTGAATACTTTTATGTATTCGGAATCGCGAACCATCCACCGTCGGTACAAAGAGTCCGGTTCGAGTCGGCATATTAAAACACGTTGTTTTCAAATCCGATCGTTCCGTTCGGATTAATGGGATTTCGATAACGTCAGCTTGATGTTAACAGCGTCGGCTGCGCCGTTGCTTCCCGTCTGTTGCGAAATTTCTTCGGATTCGTAAGAGGAATCGTACTGGTGGGAATCGGGAAACGAAGAAAGCCTGCTTATGCTTTATGCATAATCCGACAGATAAGAATACGACTAGCACGCCGGCAAGACGCACGTTCCGAGATATTTTGCGAGAATGGAAGTTATCGCTCTTGTCTACCCCCTTCCCTGGCACCCGTTTGCAATGCAGAGCAGCAGATATATATTCCTTGCTCACCGCGAACACGTATTATCGTTCTGACACGAATGCGAATATTTAACGTCTAATACAGTCGTGTTCGAATAAAGAAATTCGCGGTAAAATTCACGCGAACCGCGAAAGAGAAAGAAAGAGAGAGAGAGAGAGAGAGAAGAAAAAAAAGACGCATCTTTTTCAATATTTTTACCATACGAACGCGACACCGTTTCTACTTTCCTCCTCCGTAAAAGCAAATACGATGCTTTTGTACAGGTTTCCCTGTACTCTCGACGCAACAATAGGCAGAAGTTTTGCCCATTTACATATTCTCGAACTTGTATTAATCAACCGGACGATACAATAACATCGAGAGCCAATATACCACGATTTTTCCATTCGTCTCCGTTACCGTAACAGTTTTCGATCCAAGATATGTACAATCGGCGGGATGAAAGAACTCGGTATTCCAAAGGTGAAATATTTCTTCTGCTCGTTGTACGTAACTGGAGCGTGCCCGTTGCCACGCCGAGAGAACAGAAAATCGCGTATTCGAAGAATGCATGTTTTGGATGCACAGTAGTCATAATAGTAATGTCTAGCGCCGCGAACCTAGACACGTTGCCTCCCAATCCGAGATAGTTTCGAGTCGCTCGAGGCATATTCCTCCACTACACGGGATGGCACGTACAACTTATCCGCAAACTCCAGAAAATCGAACGAAACACACACACGTTGCTCGCATGAAACAAGCAAACGAACCACCCCTTTCCCTGTTTCTTCGTTCCTCCTTGCTTCGAGAGGGTTTATCCACATTCAAAAATTCAAAGTTACTCGAGATCGATGACAAGGGCAAGCTCGAGGAATCGAGCAAGTTCGACGTTGATCTTCCAAATGATCGTTCGTGTCTGAAGATTTGCCAAGACCGTGAGCGAGGTCCTCGAGGAACCCGCGATCCATCGGATTCGACGATCCGAAAGTTCGCGCGGTTTCGGGTCGCGAACGAGGAAACGAAAGGTTTAACAACTTGTGATTTTAGCGCGAGTCCGATGAAATATTCAAGTAGTCTACCCGTCGCGAGACATCCGCGGGAATATGAGGTTCCTCGAGCAGACAGAAATAATCGAGTTTCCGAAATTTACATCCGTCCACGGTCTCCGTTTCGCGTGACGCGCCTTGGGCTCGCAATCTGTGTGCAAAGCCTTTGTCGAAAAGTTAAGGGGCAAATTATAATATTGGCCGTGTGTGTGGAAAAGGCAGACACCGGAGGAGGAACGAGAATTCGCGGGTGGGCCGTGCGACGCGAGAGCGTTATAATTCGTAAACGCGTGTGTACGACGGGCACATAGGTACGCGATACGTATGTTTGTACACCAGTGGTCAGAGACGAGTGTAACGCCCGTGAGTGTAGAGAGACGCGAGGTCGCTCGCGCGTCCACCGTGTACGCGGAATAACGAGCTGACGAGAAAAGAGGGAGACAGAGGATCGTCGACTGGTAGTATACATCGTAAATTCTCTTTGTCCGAGCCGTCGGAACAAGCGGCAATCTGCGAGCGAGACCGCGCAACCAAAAGCTTTCTCTCGTTGGAAACGTCTCGTGTCTTCGAGCCACCGCGTGAAAATCAAATTGTTTGCCCTTATTTCTAACGCGTACGTTCGTTCGCGACGAGAGGAGAAATAAAGCTGTGCACAGCTCGACTCGGGGAAACACTCGGTAGAAAAATGTCGTGGCGCGTCAAAGAGTTTTCGCGTGGTCGTTGGCGGGTCGCGTTGCTAAAGACCTGGCCAGGACGGAAACCACCTGAAAGCTTCGAGCGTGTAAACTTCGCCGCGAGTCGAGAGATCGTGCTTTTACCCGTCAGGTGAATTTTGAATCTTTCGCGCGCATCACGGGGGCTTTATGTCCGGACGGGGGACGAAGAATGCACCAAACACCGGCGCCTAACTTTTCGACGCATCGCCCCGTCTCGTCGTTAACTCTTCCCTGTAACCATTTACCCGGGGACGACTTAACTATGTACACGGTGCACGCTATAAACCGTCCACCGTCTATCTTTTCCCCTGTCTCGTCCTTTATCCCCTCGATTCCTCTACGATCTCAAAAATTTACAGAGCGCCCTAATATGAAATACGTTCCTACTGATAATTGTGTAGCAGACGAGAGATGGAAAAGATTGACAAATGCTAGCGTAAAGCAGCCCAGTGTCGAATGCGGTTCGATAAATTTACAATTGAATCGGTCAGGCGGACAGCGAAGACGAACCAGTCGTATCTGGTGCTCGTATCGTTTCCTTCTGCACGCTGGTCCCCGGGTTCGAAATCTCGAGCGAAGCTTCTTTCATGCAGGATCTCTTCCCCTTTGTTTATTCAGGAAGAAGAGCTCCATTACAACGTCACCGCCGGCATAGTGCTCTCGGACCACTCTCTGGTGCTTCAGAGTATAACTCGAGAATCTGGCGGAAAGTACACCTGCATGGCCGTCAATGTCGAGGGTCGCGCTAGTTCTAACACAATGAATCTCCAGGTTATGTGTAAGTACATTGTCCCGGAATGTAAAAAGTATCCCGGAAGCTCGACGATGAAGCTTCCGCTCTTTCATATCGATTACGAGTATACGAACGCTTTCTGTTCTAGTCGCTCCTATTTGTAAGCACGTTGTAAATTCCGCCGGTTGGAGGTACCAAAACGCGACACCGCCGCCCTTGAATCTCCCCGAGGAGATCCACGGGGCCTTAAAACACGAGACCATCAGCTTAGTCTGCGAAGTGGAGGCCAACCCAACGTCCGTCACCTTCCACTGGACCTTCAACAGCAGCGGAGATCTCAACGATATTCCGTCCACAAAGTATACTAACGAAGGCACTTCGAGTAGACTGAATTACACGCCCTCGTCCGACATGGATTACGGGACGTTGGGCTGTTGGGCCAGCAACGTCGTCGGTCCCTCGAAACAGCCCTGTCTCTACCAAGTGATCGCGGCAGGTTCGTAAAAAGCCTTTTAAATCGTCGTTATTTGAGTAGCAAACGAACCGCGCTGGAAACATTACAGTATCCGTGCGCTGTGCGTGGGCGAGAGTAACCGCGGAGTTTCGCGAAACGGTTAGAAAAACGGTAAACGTGTTTATGCCGGGTAGTAAAACGAAGGGGAACGTTCGCCCATTCTTATAACGAGTCGAGAGAATATCGCGCGACGGTTAAAAAGTAACCGCGGCGTTTTCCAGCTGCGGGAAAATTCCATGGCGAATATAAACCGGGCGTACTGAGCGTTAACGCACCGTGGAAACTTCTCGAGTATCGACGCGAGGCATTAAAAATTCGCGGATGTTTTTTTAATTATTCTTTGGTTGGAAAAAGTTGTCGGGAGAACGCGAACCAAGTGGCCCGCGACCCGAAATCCTCTGGTAATAGTTCGCGGAATGAAAAGCACCGCGTTGTCTCCAGCTGCTAGCAGCGTCGAGAGTTCGCATCGGTTGTGTCGTATGCGCGTTTTTGCGGGAATTTAATAAAAACCGTAATTGAATATGTTCATTATGGTATACACGCGATTCTCGCCGGTGTTCGGATCCGCGACCGCGGCGAATCTGTTGGCCGTACTCGGTGCAAAGGGCCGGGAACGTTCGACGGACAAAACTTGATCGAGGCCGGGCAAAAATCGAAGGGGTTGATTTTGTCCGCGTCGAGACCGCGCGATCGTCGGTTTAACCCGGTCTATAGTTTCGCCGTGATTCGGCCGTAACCCACGTACGCGCACCGCTTGCGGTAATTGGACACATAATTTAGTTTCGGTGGAGAAGCAACGTATTTCTTATGTAATTACCGGGCAGCAGTTTTTTGCCGACCAATGGCCGGTACTTGGCGCGTGGATCCAACGCGAAACGTTGCAACGCGCCCCGCTAGTCGACCCGACGGTCTTGAGTAATTAACTCGTTAATTAAAACAAGGATGCAAGGTGATAAACGGAAACGCCCGACGGATGACGTGGGCGTTCCTTTGACCCTGTCCGCGAGAAGAACCTCGGTTGATGGAGAGATGTTCGAGAAACGACCGCGAACAACACGGATCGAGTCGCTAATTTGGAGTACGAGCCATCCCGCTATGCTCCCGAGCAACAAAAAGTTTACCAAAATGATGATCTCATTGAGCGTGTTGAAAATTATTAGAAACATTTGTTTCGAAACCTGATTTTTCGAGGAGGAGACATCAACTGACCCCCAAGATCATACGATCTAACTCCGTTGACTTTTTCTTATGGGGTTTTTTTAAAAAATAAAGTTTATTTCAATAAACCACAAACAATTGACGAGCTAAAATAAGAAAACACAAAATATCTCAAATAGTTTGTGTTTTACTTCAATTTAAAGATGTGACGCTCAATTTGGATAACCCTATATATTCAGTTTGTAGAAAATTGAAAGCATGCGCTGACAAAAGCTTGGAAAATCAGTTAGTCGAAAACGTGTTCCCGTGTCCGTGAGATTTTCCGAGAAATTTTGAAAATAATTCGCGCGCGCGTACTCGCGATAAAAAAAAAAAAATAGAAACAAAGCGTCGCGCGCTTTAAATAATTTGCAGGGCACGGAAAGAGAATGGAAAACGCGTCGAAAGGAGCGGATTCAAAGAGAAAGGGCTTTAAAAACGAAGGAAATCTGTTTTATCGTGGATCTACTAATTTGCGTTGCTGCAAAGGATTATTTTCATCGCGCGTTATACTGAGGGGACGGAGAGAGAGAGAGGAAAAAAAAGGGGGTGTGGAATAACTATACCGACCGCATTGTCCACCTTTTCCACAAGCTTTTTCAGTTCCCTATTTGCATACAAGCGATCTCGTTAATGCAACACCATCGTCGATAATGACGACCGTGGAACATAATTTCATTGGTTGCGAAACGGTGCAGCATCGCGTTGCAATTTTCGTTACGCAATAAAATGAAGTTATATGAGCCACGGCGTGGGCTACGCTACTTTTTTCCCTTGCCCGGCCGACGAACGAAATTGTACGGTACACGAGCTTCCGTTAACACGCGTGTACGTTAAAAAAAAAATAATTAAACCTATACGCTGTAGTTAAATTATCCATAAACACGCTGAAACACACACACACGCGACGATACGGTAACGCGTTAACTCATGTCGTTGGAATACGCGAACTATTTTCTATAACCAGAGCGTATCTTACGAGGGTGGTCCCAGAAGTATCACCCTCGTACATCGTGGAGCAGAATTCGATAGTTAATTCTGCCACGAAGTAGAACAGTCGGTTACAAGTTATTTTCGTTAAGTTTCGAGCTGGAAATGACAAAGATTGATAAAAAAAATCGCGTTTCCTTCGGCAGGCAGACCGTACCCGCTGCAAAACTGTACGGCTTACAACCAGACCGGTTCCTGGATAAGGATATCGTGCACGGAGGGATACGACGGCGGATTGCCGCAGAAATTCGTCGCGATCGTGGACAAACAACGGCTGGAGTCGACGAGCCCTCACTGGGAGCTAGAGCTTCACAAACCGACGACGGTCGCCCTTTACGCGGTCAATATGAAGGGCTCCAGCGATCCGGTGATCATGGAACGGGTAGCGCTGAAAGGAGTGGCCAAGTTCACCGGTGCGTAAGTACCTCTGACACGAGTTGAACGGAAAACACGGAACGGACGGAAAGACGGGAATCCGCTTTTCGAAAGATCCGCGGACGCGTCGAAGCTCCTCTCGTTCAGAGATGAACAAAGTTTCGTGTGTTTGCGTACCCGCGATCGAGACAACGAAACAGTCCGGTCGACGGAAAAAGTTTCGGGAAATGTACGGAATATTTTCGAGCAACGTTGCGAATGATTTCGTTCGACTTCTCGTCAATGATATCGTTATCGTAATCGTAGCTACTTCTAATCGCGTTAATTCCGAAACTCTCGATAGACACGCGATCGTAGCCTTCTTTCTGACGTTTAAAATAAAAAAAAAAGAATGCAGGATAGTAGCCAAATGAGAATTGGACACGGTCCCATTTCGCCTCTTTCGCGGATCGTTCTCGGTGCATCTGCAGTCGGTGTTATGCAACCCCCCGGGGGCCGTTGTTCGAAAATACATAACACGAACGAGGAGAAAAGAATGCGTTTCGACAATTTAATTGAATGATATCTTTAAATAAAAAACAAACACTAGACGAAATTGTCATTCGAACGTCGAATCGATGCGAATCCAACGTTGACGGAACGAGGTTAATTATCAACGATGCCATTAGCCAACGAGGGAACGTCGCGTTCGGCGCAAGAAAATATAATCACCGTAAAATATGCGGGTTTCGTCGAGATGGTAAACAATTATTAATCGCCGCCGGGATACGAGAAATCTTGAGAACACGTCTTAAGCGAGGCAGGAAATGCAACGTTGCTTGTCGGCACGTTGGCACGGTCGACCTCCGCAGAATCCGGAAACAAGCCTCGAAATTTATGAGCTATTATTATGCATTCTGTTTTCTCTCGTCCGTTTCTTCCTTTTACTTGAACCCGTGTCGTCCGTTCCCCGATAGAAGCACCCGGGCCCCGAACAGTACCACCGCCCCCGGAGTCGCTCGCCGCGTTCATTAATCATTCCGTGGCAACGAAGACGTCTCGTCGACGGAACTGAACGTTTAAACTCCAACGAGAAACGACGAAATTAAAACGCGCGGGAATCGAACCGAGCATATCCATCATCCAGCTTCTTCAGAGAACCCGTTGGTTCGCGTGTTTCTTTATCCGGATCTACGACGGCCGGAAAATACCATCGCGTTTAAAACGACAAGCTTCGGCGCTCGTTACGCCGATTCGCGAAGATGGCAACGCGTGAATTAATAAACACGTTAATCGAACGGCGCTAAGCGAGTACCGCCTCGACGAAGTTTCGCAATAGACCGAAGTAGTAAGACCCTAATTGGAAGTAGATTAGGTTCCCCAGAAATTTCTCTCAGCGATTCAACCGACGACGTTCTCTGGGGAAGCGTGAACGACAAACAAGTAAATTAGAAACCCGTCGCGTGTCTCGAAGCGATTCGTACGCGCGGAATAAACCGTATAACAGGCTTTCGGAGATTCGCGCGAGGAACGCGTAAAAGAATCGAACTCGAAGGCGAAACAATCGTAAAAGAGACGAACGGAGCGGGATGGACGGTCGTGCGCGGCGAAAGGGAGAAAGAGAGCCAAGTTGAATTAAATTTCGACCACGTACGTCGGTTGAATGAATTATGTATAAGTAGAACTGGTAGAGATTTCGTTTATAGGTGAATCGGTATCTTCGGTGGACATGTCGCCGATTCTGATTGGCCTAGGCGGTACAGCGACCGGTTTGGGGCTAATCGTGACCGGGGTGCTGATGGCGCTTTGGAGAAAACACGCCGCCACCCCGGCGAAACCAAAACCACCCCAACAACCCAGTATCGCGACTTTCGCTGGCAAAGGCGAAGAGGAAGACGGAAATCCCGATCTCATACCCACGACGGCCTTGACCAATCATTTCACAGGTAATATTCGCACGCTGAAACGTCGATTACTCCAACTAACAGCAAGTCAAACTAAAGATGATACAACGATCATTTATCTCCCACGAAACTTCTTTCAGATAGAAAGCTTCTACATTATGGATCACTGCCACGAAGGCCGCGTCATTTGGAAGGACGAGAGATGTCTCACGATGTCGTAGAAGAGTCGTCGGATTATCCACGAGCATCGCCAAACGTGAGTAATCGAATTTCTCGTATCGTTTTGCTACCAAAGATTCGCGGCAAACATTTGTTTTATGTCTCTTGCTATAACGAGCGACATCTCTGTCTTTTTGCAGACGTTTTACAGTCTCCAGAGGCCGCAACGATATTCGGAGACGGTCATCAGGAGCGCGGCGATCCAGGAAAGCTGCATTTAATAATAAAAACAACGACAAAGAAAGAGAACGGTCCTGGCGTCGCGCTGGCAAAGGAAAACGAAATTCATCGTGGATCGCGACAGACAAAAATCAAAAAGACTAAAGCCACCATGCTTATGCCATCTCGTACACGTTTAAGCGTACGAACACATTATTAACCATTCGACGACAGTATGCCCTTGTAAATATTGTATATAAATAAAACATCGATTTCGTGTTACACCTGCGTTACATTCAACTTTCCACGACCACACGTAATTTTTAGTCAACATGACAATGTTTGCTATCGGTAAACTCGCTTCCGTTCGCATTAAAATAACAGATTCTGGTATTTGCCATATCGAAGCTGCCTCTTTGCTAACTGTCTCTTTAATTTTGTAATAATATCCCACGAATAAATACGAAATATACTGAAATTTCAATCAAAGAATGGTTCAAAAATAATACTTGTATAATTTTAGATAACCGATGATTTCATCGATCGTACAGAGATTACACCACGCGCCAAATGTTTGTTCGAATAAAATGCAATCATGTGACGTCTAAAGGCCAATTGCCACGTCGGTGTCAAGTCGACCGGAACATCAAAGTAGCCTATTTTTTATAGCATTTGTAGCAGAAGATTTGCCATTACTTTGACGTGCCAGTTGACTCGAACGTTGACGTTAAGCCATAGTACAAATCTGCCATTATGAATTTCCGGCGACAACGGTACAATCGAGGGGATTTATCGTAGCCATTAGCATTCTCTGGTGCAACTAAACTTTCGTATAAGCGTTCATTGTTTAACTCGATACGACTCGACGGGACGAGCTTGAAATTTCAAACGGAAAAGGACGCGAAACAACTTGAAATGAAATTATAATAATTACGGGAGCAACGGCCGCCAAAAACGCAAACTCGCGCTAACTCGAAATTTTTGAAAACTTTTCTCGATAATTAAAAGTAGACGCGTGACGTATTTTCAGGGCAAAAAAAGAAGAGAAGGATCATCGGCTATCGAGGTGACGGGTTCGTTTCGGAATTGGATCGAGCAGCGTGCTATTTTTGCGAAAGATTTAATGCATTCGCGAAACGTTAAATGCGCCCGGTAAAAAGGAAATAGCGGAGTATCTCGTACGGCAGTCGAGAACAATGCTTGGAAGCGTATATCTTTCGAGACAGAGCAAAAGGTGATCGCATAAACTCTGTCCGGTTATCGTTGAAATCCAGGCCAAGGAAAGGACGCGACGCGATTTATCGTGGCCGCGTTTCACGATAGTCTTTGTGTTTCAAGACCCGAGAGAGCCTCGGATACTACCTAATGAGAGTTTCCTTCTATCCGTCTCTTCTACTTTACAGCGCAATCTCGGTATCTTTCAGCAGCACTAAATGCATCGTACTGACCTAGTCGGGTTACTTACGGTCGAAAGTCGTTCCGATCGAGCACACAACTTTTCGCCGAGTGTGGACGCCATCGTGACAAATGATATACTTCGACCGATCAGGAATAACAGTAAAACCATTTTGGTCTCCAAAACGTTTAAAATCTCAAAACGAAAGACTAACCAAATGCGCTCGAATAATGTTTTTCAACTCGCTCCCACAATTTAGCTTCGTCCCTATTTTAAACGGAATAATTACTTGGCATAACTAAACTCAAAAATCGAAGGAACTTTGCTTCCTTCTACCTTTTTAGTTTGGTAATTTAAAAATGTAAAAGAAAGATAGATGGAACTTGGATTCTGAACTTGGATGGATGGCTGCGAGTTTACAATTGTTTCTAACGATAGAAGAAGAAATTAAACTATCTAAAGTAGTAAATAAACTAATAAAATTGCGAAATTCACAATTGACCGCCATCCATGAGAAGAATTCGTTAAAAACACCTCTGAATGTTAAGGTCGGTAAGGCAGACTGTATCGCGCCCTCCGTTATCGATTCAGAATGGAATAAGACTGCAACGCGACCAGCAATGAGAATTAAAATTAAATTCGAATTCTATATACCATCAGTGGTACCACCACAGACGAGGTGTTCGAGTAGACCTTTCACCCAATGTATTTTTTCTAGAGCTCCATTACCATTTTCATGTCACTCAAGATTATTAAAACACGTAAGGATGTACCTCATTGATAAATACACCGAAAATCCTCTGTTTTTTATTTTAAATTGTAATATATCATTCATTTAAAAAATAACTCGACAAAAACGTATTCGCGACTATAAGAAGAACGCAGCCATTAGCCCATATTATTTGCTATGTAATTAATAATTCTATTAATTACATAGTAAATAATATGACCCGGGTCTCACCGCGAGGAGGTTGCTGCGAATGGAGACCCACCCTAGCCTCGCCCCAACCACCCTTCCTTTGGCGAGGAATTCGAATACCTATCCAAGGGAGAAGCTATCGAAAAGTTAGAAATCAGCTACGAAAAGAGAGTTCTTAAAAGAACTGCCCAATCAAGAGATAAAGAACCTAACAAAATGTCAATACATGTGAGATGATACACATGTTTTCTAGAAACGATATTGGAATGTGCAACTGCACGTACGAACTCTGATGAAGAGATCAAAAACCTAACAACATGTTGATACATGTGAAATAAGCCATCACATGTTTTTTAGAAACAAAATTGGAATGTGCAACTGCACGTACGAACTCTGATGAAGAGATCAAAAACCTAACAAAATGATGATACACGTGAAATAACCCATCACATGTTTTTTAGAAACAAAATTGAAATGTGCAACTGCCCGTACGAATCCTGATTATTGAAGTACCAATATGTACTTCATTATTAATTGTTTCTTCTTAAATCGATGCTTTTATTATGATAGCGTCTAATAAGACACTGAAGATCCAACCTTAATATTAACCATTCCCACTTAAATTTACGCACACGCTTCAGTAGTATTTAGTGAAACGCTGGAGAACGCTTATATCTAAGTATACATATACATTTGTACTTATATTCTAACGCGATCTGTGGAAACGAAGAAATACGAGGAAACATTTTCTTCTTGGTGTCTTCATCAATCCCACGATGTTTTTCTAAAACATACACTCGTATACAATAAATATAACCGATATAAAACGAAGATATGACCTAATATTTTCTTCTTGGTATCTTTGTTAATCCCACGATGTTTCCCTGAAACAAAAACTCATATCCAATAAATGTGACTCGCATAAAACAAAGAAATACGAAAAGATACTTTCTTCTTGGTGTCTTGGTTAATCCCACGATGTTTCCCTGAAACAGAAACTGAGACAATAAATAGAATCGTCTGACATATTTCTCGAAGAACGATCAAGATAGAATCCGTGTACCATTTCCAATTCGATTCTTCAATGATTATATATCCTGTAACAAGAACTTGTTCAAAGGATTAATAGCTGAAATGAAAGTGTATTAATGAACACAGGAAAAAATAATAAGACCAATGGTAATCGATCATAATAAAAGTGATATGAAATTAATATTTGAACTAAAGCTTCCGCGAGTAAAAATTGATATTAAAAAGTTGAAAAATATAAATATTACGCGAAACCGAATGAAAAGTTAAATTCGTCTCAGTGTTAAGATAAATATAAAATAGATTGAAAATTTTATTCATTTGCTAGCGTAAATTTTATTTTTCGTTTCGTTTATCAAATAAAAAATATTTCAAGACCGATACATTGCAATAATTATATTTTACTGTATCGAAAACTAAATTAAGTTCATATAGAAAAAGCAATAACGAACAAAAATGTCGATTCTACGCGGAAATGAACTCTCAATATGAAATATCGAATTGCAATTTGCATACCCTTTTGATGCAAGCATTCAATTTTTCATCAATTAAAACAATGATCGCGAACAAACTTTGATTTATGCAAAGAATACAGAATCTTTATAAAAAATTCACTATTTATAAATAAGAATTGAGTTGCAACGGTTATTATATCCCGTAAAAATTACCAACTCTAATAATGAATAATTAGTGATATAGCATTTTTAAATGCATCACAAATCTGTGATAAAAATACATTCACGTAAATTGCAGATTTTAACACGTTATAAAGAATAAAACAATTGGTCTATTCACAACAGTACTTTAAAGCAGTATTTCCTTTGGCAAATATATAAAAAAAAGATATATTTAAGATAAACGTCCACTCGTCTTAAATTCAAACAACCCGTGAGTGGACCATTCTTTCTTTCGCAACGCTAATTTATAAAATACAAAACTATACGCGAATGGTGCTTGTTATTCGAAAAATGAACCACGCGGGGTTGCTTTATTAATTATACCGCGTGCACCCATATTAAATGATACGCAACACTAATTTTAATAATTTCGTTGAGCCTTTTGAGGCTTTGTGGAATCAGCTGCATCTCGATCTTGGAGCAGTGGTTTTGGCCAGCTTTTGGGCATTGAATCGCAACTCTAATTAACAAAAAACGCGATAAGTCAAGATCGCAACGCTAATTAATAATATAAAAATTCCAAACGCGATTTATAACAGTAAAAGCAACCGCGAATGATGATTATTCGCAACACTACCCTGAAAAGTAAACACGAAAAATAGTAATTCGCAACGCTAAGAGCAAACCGATCAGTTAATTCGCAATGCTATTCTGAAATAACAATAAAAGCAATCGCGTATGGAATTCGCAACGCTACCCTGAAAAGGAAACGCGAAAAATAGGAATTCGCAACTCTACAAGCAAACGCGATTATTATATATTCGCAACTCTATCTTTAATGGAAATATATTTATGTTTCGCAACGCTAATTCAAATCGCGTTTTGCCCAAAAATGCTGGATCAGGTGCTGGCGTCTTCGGTTGTAGCTACAAACATACATGCACGAAATAAACTAACTACTTCAAGCTACTTCAAACTACAATAGAGTGGCACATATGGGGATGAAGTTAGACGTTTTAAATATCGCAACACTACGGGCCAACAACGCGATAAATCAACAATCGCAACGCTAATTTATAATAGAAAAATTCCAAACGCGACTTGTAACAATAAAAGCAACCGCGTATGGTAATTATTCGCAACTCTACCCTGAAAAGCAAACGCGAAAAATAGTAATTCG